TTATTTGGGATTACTGGTCATGATGCATGTTAAACCTGAGGATGATCCTTTACCCTCCACAACATCGCCTTGTTTCTTACTAAAATGTTAAAGTTGCATCTGTTGCAGGATCTTTTCTTCCTTCTTTCTCACTTCCTCACCCTCTCTATTTCTCTCTCCCTCTACCAGCAGCCCTTCACAGATCCCAACACACAGACAATTATCCGACTGTCTCTCTTCCTCTCTCTCATGTCTGCCACTGAGGTCAGAGTCTGGCTTTTCTGTCCTGGAGCAACACAGCCGAGCTTCGCCGTGACTGTAACTCCAGCTCTGCCTGCAACCCTAGACTCAGAGCGTTAGTCAGGTCATCTTGACGCTGCCTCATCGTGATGGCGAACCTCCCGGTCACACGCTCAAGACACACTATACACGTTCAAGTCATGTGCCGCTGGACCCGTGATCATGCATCCAGCACCAGCAACACATGTCACTGAACAGGCCGGGATGGCGTGTAAGGCCTGGCTTTAGTGTAGCTGTGAGGTGAATTAGACAGATTCTGGTATAAATAACCTACTGTAGGATCAGGTGTTTTTCTTGTGATGATCGGTTTATCTTGGGGAACAAAGCCCTTTGTCTTTGCTTCAGCTGCGAGAAGCTAAAGGGAAACTGTCGGGGCACTGTGCTGGCGGGGTTCATGTCATTATCGATGTAGATCTGCACTGGCTGTATGAAGCGGGACCCAGGCGTTTGAAGCGCGAGGGCTTTACAGGGAGACAGTCATCCCTCTCACACGGGGAGAGCCAGACTCTCAACTGTCTCCTCTGAAAATTGGATTTCTATCCCCTGAGATTAGGATCAGGCTTCCCCCGCTCCACTGCGGCTCTATTAGAAAAACATGCCGCCCTCTGAGGCCATGAGAAGCTTGCAGCGCAGACCTCGTCGTCATCTTGGTGACCTTTGACCTTATAGGACCGGCCGCAATACTGATCCCACACCAGGCTTTCCCTCGGGTGTCTGTCTGTCTGCCAGACGGGCAGGCCTGTAGCCAACTGCAGGTGTCATCTATTTGACGTGGCCCCGCCTCCTATTCCCCCCCTGCCTGGGGCGAATGACAATCACCACGAAGGAGGACAAAGGAGTGTCTGTCTACACTGAGACAAGCAGACATGAACCCCCTTTCTGTGTCATTTACATCGCCACTTAACAGATTCCCAAACCATATTATATGTACAACACAGGTATTAACTATCAGCTATTGTCAGGCTTTGCTAGAGCAAGACACTGCTAACATGCAATTTGACACTGATACCAGCAGCTGATAAAACATACAGTAGTTTACTGTAGTGCAGCCAGAATTTCTGGATCTGGATGATGCTGATGGGAAGAAAAACAAAGATCCATCTGGAAAAATATGTTTTTCCTGTAGTACAGCAAGACATTTTTCTTACTGCATCGCATTTCAAGATTCCAAATGAAAGAAAACTGACATGGCAGGCTTGGAAAGTAATAGTCCTGTTTTCTGCACAGACAATGTTAAGTGTTAAGACAGTTGGAGCGCCTCGAGGCTTGGATGGACATCAAACTCTAGTACAAGAGTCAAGCAGCTGCTTTATAAAATATCTTGTTCTATGAGTTAGAAAAATAGAGTCATTAGTTCAAGTATGGAGACATAAAAACTTTTTTGGTCCAAAACATTCAGTCACCAAGCCTAAATTCTGTTTGTACACTGCTAACAGTTAGCTAAAGCTAAGGCTTACACTGTGTAGAAACCTGGTAAAAGACTGAGCAGCTTAAAGCTGCACTAATCAAAATTTCTTTATTAACAATGGATTAAATGACTGTGTGTAATGTGAATGGGGTCATACAGTAATGAGGAACCTACAGAGTTTAATGAACTCTGCAGTTGGCCTCAGGTCTCTAGAGTATTTTAGCTTCTTTTGGCGAATTGTTTTGTATTGTTTTGCTTTTTCATTCCATAGCTTTTTTTTTCGTTTACTCTGATCAACCTAGTTTCCAGTTGGAAAAGGAAGCTGTTTCAGTGAAAAAGCTTTAATAAACCCACTGTACACTACCGGCCTAGCAGCAAAAATCAGGCAAAGGTAGCGACTAGCTAAAGTGAATACGTGTTCATAACTATATAATTCCTCGAGGACTTGGTGGATACCAAAGCAGAGGTTTTCCAGGTGAACTCCAAATGAGTTCTAACACTAAATTCTTTGATATATACTATATATAATGTACTTCATATCGTCATATAAGGATATAATATGTCAATGTTGTGGTTTTAGCTTGTTCTGCTTCCTGTCGAATGGCCAAAACTCTCACTTTAAGATTCTGAGACAGTTTTAAATGTATTCAACAGATGTGTTGCATTGTTTTGTTCGATTAAAGGTTCTGACCAGCTTCTTCTCCACAGCAACAGCAGCTGAGGCTCATGGGTATTGCTGTATTTAGAGCCATTCATCATAAAAACTGACAGAAAATTATGACTTCTCAAAAATGAAAATGAAATAATAAAAACTAATATCCACAAGATAAACTTATAGTACTGTTACATTATCCAGGTGACTTCAATGTTGAGGAATGAGGAACATGAAGGATTTCATTTAAAGGAAACTTTCACATTGGAATTTAGTGATAAACACTTCCTGAAGCAGTTCTTCTTTCCAACTACACACCTCCATACAATGAGGACAAATATTGGGATTATGTTAAATGCTCTGACAACAAGATCGTGGTATGTTCCCTGAGGTGTCTTTGTCTGTTGTTATTTCATACCGTGCTCAGATCCCATGTCCTCAGAGGAGGAAAAAAAGTGTCTTTGGTGAACAACGATCTGATGGATGAGTCATGAATCTGAGTCAGCGAGAGATAGTCCATATGGCCTGAAACTGCTTAAAGCCATATGGGCTGTCTCTCTGCCTTTCTCTCTCTCTCTTGATGATCAATCATCATCCTAGTCTGCAAGAACATCATCTTCACTGAGTTTCACATCAACCAGAGCCAACTCAGCAAATGAAGCAGAATTAGGCAATCTATGATTTTTCTTATCAACATCCAAAGGATTGCAACAACATCAGTAATTCTCTGGCAGGGCTAACAATAGACCACAATTTCCCTAAACAGTCACATTTTATGCAACAGAGTCCAGTAGACTAGCCAACGAACGCAGAGGTCCAACAGAAACATGTAGTGAAGGGTAATACATCACGACACAAAATACTGCAACAAAAATACAGGTTATATGAGGACAACTTTGATGATCTTGTGATTCCAGATGCTCATTTGTCAGACAGTCCAAGATCAGTGAGGCAAACACAAAAGCGTTGGAGGACATGTAAGGAAAAAATAATAGAAAACGTTCATTGTGATCCTGCCTGTATCATTACAGATCATCATTTCAGCTTTTAGTGGAGTTTTCAAAGACACAAAGTGGATTTTGGGGAAATGTGTATGAAACTTGCAGGGAGGACGCAGGAAAAAATCAAGTCAATGATAAATAGTTTTGTTTTGTAACTCTAAAGGTCCCATATTTTACACTTTTGTTTCATTCTAGTGTTGATCCATAAGAAGATATATTTGTGGTTTTAAGAACCAAAATCTTAATGTAGTTTTACCTCTCCTCTCTCAGGTTTCTCTCTGGAGCTCTGATTCTCTCTTCTGATTGGCTGACTGTTTTCAGAGTGATCAACCAAAAATATACAATAAACCAAATCCTGCAAGGTTGGCTGGTGGGTCAAAGTGGGCGGGGCTTGGGGCACAGCTGAGAGCGGTGACTGCTTTGTTGTGACATCACAAAGTTCCAGAAGTCCTGACGGCTGGTTTTAAGGCTCAGTTTCTGAATACAGGCTGTGTGCATTTCTCTGTGGACTGAGGCTTTGATACTTTAACTGTATTAATATAGAACCAAGACCTGCTTTATAATCAGAAAAGACATGGAAATCTGCCTTTATACTATATGGGACCTTTAAAGCTACAATACAGGTGAAATCATTGTTCAAAGGGTCAAATCAGTGAGCAGCCAACAGATATCAAAGCCTGATTTGCAGTTCAACAGAACAAAAACATCCTTTCAATCTGGTCAGATGAGCCAAACTGCATATTTTCTTTAAAGTGAATTTTCTGAAACACCTGCTCTGGGTCTGGAGGCTAAAAAACTGCATAAAGGAAAAACTAAATATTGTACTTTGTTATAAAGCCAAAATAGTTCTGCCTTTCCACTGACACTTGCACTCCTTATTATTCCTGTTCCTGTTCCTGTTAATACCCATGAAGCTCCCCTGACCACGAGTGTCAGCTAAATTCCTAAAAATCTACCATGGAGCTCACTGTATCTCATTTAGTCCCTCTCCTCTGCACCTTCAGGGCATTGACTTCGCTTATGAAAACATGACTTCCCAGCTGCTTGTTTTCCCAAGTCTTCTCACGAGGAGGAGAAAGCTGAGCTCAGCCAGTCAGCAACAAAAGATGCTTCAGACGAGACCTCGACAGCAGAGATGTTTTGCTCCCTCTGGCTTGTGTTTTGGCTTGGCGTTTTTTTTTTTTTTTTTTCAAGGACTTGCAAAACAAAACCCAAACATTGCTGCTGTCTTTTTGCCAGATTCCAGGATGAAACTGATATCGATCTTCTGATGTGGGTCTTATAGAGCTTGTTTTTGCTGTGAATCTCTCTTACTAGTCCTGATACAATACCTGAGTTTCAGTACTGATAACAAAATGACACTTTTTTATGTACCTTACTTTGAGAAATGTAAAAAGTTCTACGAAAGTTTTGTTTTTTCATTTAACACAAAAAAAAGTTACCAAGAGATAAACATTATATAAACACAAGCAGCTATACAAGAACTTTACAAAAATAATAAATATATTTCGATTTGAGTCAGAAAAATATCTGATCAAGAAAAAGTAATAAGAATACAAATCTGACCACACAGTCAAGGTCATACTCAGCACATTTCGATTGGTATCAAAAAAGTGGAACAAATGCTGTAAATAGCACATTGAGGTCGGTGCGTACTCACAGATATAATAATACTCTCTGCCGGGGCGAAACTCGAAGCCTAAGGAGAAGGGAGTGAAGAGCTGGAACTTCTCAGAGAACTTGAGCGGTCCGTTCGGCGACAGAGGCCTGTTGCACTCCCAGCGTTTGAAGCCCTTGGCAGTGTGGTCGCAGGAGCTGTAGCCATCGTAGTTCACCATGTAGAGGATGTAGCGCTCGGCCCGCTCGTCGGACACCGGGCCTGTGTAGTGTGGACAGTAGACATCAAGATAGTCGTTGATGCAGACGTCGATGTGGTAGTCACCCCGATAAAACCTGGAAGAGGAGAGAGAGAGAAAAGAGGGAGATGTGAATAAATCCAGGGACGTGAGAGATGTGAAGAAAAACATTGAATATGTGCTGGTGTGTTGTCTCAGCCCAAGTCTTTAATGAGTCTCAGTCAAATCTTAAGTCCTCTTTTCATGATTTTCAAAAGATACCTGTTTGAGTGTTTGACCTTTAAAGGTCCCATATTTTACACCTTTCCTGTGTTTTATGTGAAGTGTTGATCCATAAGAAGATATATTTGTGGTTTTATCATCTCTATGTAGTTTCTATGTATCTCCTCTCTCAGGCTTCTCTCTGGAGCTCTAGTAACAACAGGTCGGTGAGCCAATCAGAAGAGAGGAGGCTCTGAGCCTCTCTTCTGATTGGCTGACTGTTTTCTGAGTGATCCAATAAAAATATAGCAGATTTCAGGTAAACACTCAGAGATACCAAATCCTGCAAGGTTGGGTGGTGGGTCCAGGTGGGCGGGGCTTTTGGCTGAGGGTGGTGACTGCTTTGATACTTTCACAGTATTAATATAGAACCTAGACCTGCTTTATAATCCAAAAAAGACATGGAAATCTACCTTTGTACAATATGGGACCTTTAATAGCACTGTGGGGGGAATACACAGGGGGGGGGATACACATTCCTGCCAGTGGTTTCACACTATTCCAGATACTGACACTGGGAAATTCGGATGTAAGGTTTCAGAACTGCTAAAAATTGGTGTTTTATGAGGAAGGAAAGTGCATCAGAAGCTCGTGACCACTTGTGCTTACATGACTGGAATCATTTGTGTTCATAAACCACAGTGGGGGACAGTTTCTGTGTGTGTCAGCAATAATACTAACATGATTAATCTATGATCGTGTCAGGTGATTGTTCTACATGCAAGGATAATTCCCACAATGGCATCGTGCGAGAGCATGTGATCGGCGATCTTGACCTTTCTAATGATTTATTTATCCAGTGAAAACATGCTGAGCATGCACGCGCTCTCTCTGCAGCAGCCTCCTGCGGTTTGAACACACTTAACATTCAGATACCCTGAAGCAGCGCGTTGCTCAGGGGCACATCGGCAGCAGCTGTTTAAGTGTGCAGACAGTTACTCATTGATTTGTTCGGGGACTCTCTCGCCATTTTGTTCCTTGAAGACGCATTCTCCACAGAGACACGAGTACTCCAGATCCTGATGAGAACACGTGATACTTAGGGTATCTTAGCGAGGCCACAGCTGAAGGAAAATTTCCCATATGTGCAGCGCAAACTGGGGCCGGACTGTGAAAGACGCATTCAGGCTTCGGCTCTTCTGGTTTTGTTTACAGGATCTCATCATGTCAGTCTCAATCATCCCAAACCCTCTTGTGAGACTAAACCGAATCCCCCCTGCAACAGAAACCTCTTACGACACACGCTAGTCCGTCCTAAGCCATATATCAATGTTAGTGCGCCGTAGTGATGACTTATACTGGTGCTGAAATTAAAGTCCCCTAGCGTTACAGGGCTAATCCCCTGGTTAGCATGTGCCTTTAGCAGCTTTAAGAGGATCCCTCAGTAGAATGAGATTTTCATTAGCCCAACATGACAGCTTGATGTAGGAGCCCCTTGTGGAATCTGTGAGTCTGGGAAAATGAGGTCTGTTCTCAAGCATCGCCTTGAAACAGCCCCGAGATCTTCCGCCCGCTGTTTACTGTAAACCGAGCGGACAGGAGCAAAGGGGGGAAAGGAGTGCGGCGACGAGATATGCCAGGTATTCATTCCTGGGGAGAGTGATTGGAAACACATATTCCCATAGGCGCCGTATAAGGTTGCATTTCTGAGGCTTTTAGCGGAGACAGATTAGGCCTGGACGGCTGGATGGTTGTGTCTCTGTAGCTGCTAATGGCCCGCAGTTCAGTATCATTGACATACTGACATACTGCGGATGTCTTCAATACTCCACCTCTGTTCATTGACACAGTGAGGACCGTCAGAGGGGGGGTGGGTGGGTTTCACCGGGCTTCACTGGCTACGGATCGGATATTACACCTCCTCCTGCTCCACGCCCGAGAGAATGGGAATACCAGTCAGCTGATCTAAGGCCAGGTGTGGCAGGGAGGGACGGGTCTGGACGCAGCTGCTGCCGCTGACATGTACATGTTGGGGCTTCGGGAGGCATGAGCAGCATAAAGAGAGGTGTGTGCTCGCCGCGGCCTGCTGGGGGTATCAAGTTGTCATTACACAGATTGTAAATGTGCTGCAGGATTAGTGGCCGTCCTACTGGGTTTGCAGGGGCCACAACTGAGCGGACGTGTGTGTGTGTGTGTGTGTGTGTGTGTGTGTACGCGTGCATGATAGCGGGGTGTGTGGGTGTCTTGTGGCATCGTCAGCCATATTCTAATCTTTTTCTCTCTCTAATTATAGTCTGGTCAAACGAGAAACCAAAGCTCTTGTTTTCTCTCCCACTTTTTTTTTTTTTTCCCCCCCTGCAGCACCAGCTGAGCACGTTGGCTCCAGGCAGGCACAGCGTGGCTTCCTTTAGCCTCAGTTCCAGAGCTGCTGGCTGATATTATGACTACCAGGGGTCAACCGGCTCCACGGTATCACGTCCTCAGCCAGGAGCACTGTGGGATAGCCTGCTTTGTCCTCCCCTGTCTGTCCTAAGCCTTAAATGTTTAGCTTTAACCTTGCGAGTGTCGGTGGCTGTCAATCAAACCTGACCCAGGAGTAACAACTGAGATTAGTCGGGATCAAGAAGAATTTATAACTAATACCTTTGTGCGACAAAGATGGAGGAAAAAAAGTTTGTGAAAGTGACGACGACCCTGTTCAGAGCTGGATATTTATATTCAGATACATTCAGATTGTGACTGGAGCTGGGACAGTGTTTACTCCGGGCATCAACCTCTCCTGTAAACACTGTTGACACTTCTGGGGATAATCCAGAGAAACAGGGAAATTTTATTTATTTTTATTTTTTTTGTTTGGAAAGACAAGCTGTTCTTGAATTTGAAAACATAATTTGAAAAGTTTGAATACCACAAACAAAATTCCTTTCACCTCCTTTATTTTGGGATGGAGGCGAAAGTCTAAAAACCTACGGAAAGTAAAACTAAATATAACAAGAGAAATTATTAAATAATTAAAAAAAATAATTACACAACAAGGATTTAAGAAGTAGCAAAACTAATTTATGATTGGAAGTAACGCCGCCAGTAGACAGAGGAAACTTGTTAGACAGGCATCTGATTTCCCACGGCTGCCATTTTTGTTTTTTCAGATTGTTCATGAATCATTAAAAATGCCCGTTCTTAGTGATGAGCCTGGAAACAACCTGGATTCCTGTCTCCATGCAAATAAACTGTATTTTGTAGCAGCTGACAGTTCTTTATTCTCGTCTTAGATGCATTTCTTTTCCCGGCCATCCATTTATGATTAGATCACTAGACGTGGATCTGGAGGGCCGTCAAACATTCGCAGCCAAGAGGCTAAAATATGGACTTGAGGTGTTACAAAAGATGATAAAATGCACAGTGAGAGTAGCAAGAGCACAGGCACATGCTCCAGATGTTTGCCAGATGGAGGCTATAAGGAGGTTTTTGAGTGGCAGAAATGAAATATTGCTGAGACACGGAGCCGTAAACACACAGCCCGACTCAAGATGTGGAGGGGATGACATTTCCACTCTCTCGCTGTCTTCTGGTTTCTTCTTTAAATTAGGCTGACCAAAGACTTTCTCCTGCTGATCTCCGCTCTAATCTCCACTATGTCCACGCTGCGGCTCTGGTCCGCCCGTCAACACCTCCCCCACCGCCACCCCCTTCCTTCTGCGGACTGGCCTGAAGAGTGAGAAACCCTCGTTCATTTACCGAGCTAAAAACCTTCTGCAGTGTTCGTGATCTTCAGCATTTCTTAATTTTTCATTACCAGCAAGATTTATTCACCTGCTTTTTTCTAGATGGCTTTGGCGTTATGTACTTTTTATTGAGTCATTAAGCTTTCCCAGGGCTGATCGAGGTAATTTCAATAGTTGTGTTTTCTTTCTGGCGTAGTTCTGAGCAGCAGGTGGTGGAGGAGGCTGATCGAGGGTTCAGGGTTTTGATAGCAGGAGGTAGAGAGAGCGACCAGGGGAAAAAAAAAAGCAGTTCAGCAGTTAAAACTGTCAGTTGAAAATGTGTCATAACGAGCCATTAACAAAATAAAAGCACCTTAATCCTAAATCCATTTGTCCTGGGGATTAATGATCCCTGATTGGCTGAATTACTCACGGCCAGTTAGAGGAGGCTTATCAATGAATCAGGCGCTGGAGCTCTTAACAAAGCACACATCTATGGATAATCCCTCTTTTCAGTCAGCCACCCCCTCCCACACACACACACACACACACACACACACACACACACACACACACACACACACACGGTTGTTTACTTTCTTTAGCCCCATCTGGTGTGTTTGGCCTGGCACAGGTAAGGTATGACAGAGCCAGTATGGACAGAAACAGACAAAGACAGGGTGGGGGGGGTGGGGGGGTTGGTGATGGTGGGTGGTAGATGGAGTGAGTAGAAGAAAAGAGGAATTTTATTATTTGGATTTATTCAGCCTATTCCATTAGTGGTTTTGATTTTATTTTCCGCAAGTTTCCTCTGGCAATCAACAAGTGCTTACAAACACAACCCAACTCACTAAACTCTGACTGAGAGAACGCTGTCTTTATTTGCCAGATTACGAAGCTGTTTCCACGAAATGTTGAAGGAAATTACTGGAAAATTGCAGAACCACGAACCGTTTTATTTCCCAACATGAAGGCCTAAACGCTGTTTCAAAGCCCTCTCCATGTGGCCAACAATTAAATTTGCTGAAGAAATACTTAATTCTTTATTTTTTTGGCACGAATGAAAAAAAGAACACTGCCTTGCTTCCTGCTGGTATATACTGTATATTTATTCATGGCGTTTTGGTCTGTTTGAAGTCGTGCTTTCCTCTGACACACCTGTCACATATTCAGGTGAGCCATTTTTAGTTAT